GGATCATTTTGCCCCCGACCATGCATGTGCTTTCTCCTGCAGCACTGGTCATCTGCCAGTGTTTCTGTCTATGAGATGGATTCCTCCATCTGTTCAGGATTGGCACCACAGCCCCGCCAGCCCTGTGACAGCTTCCCTCCCCTTCAGTCCAGTTACCCACAAAATAACTCAGATATACCACACTCGCACATGGGCTTCAGACCAAGCATCCCCACCCCCGGGGAAGTGGCAGCAGCCTTCATCCTACCCAACCTCTTCCAATCTCCGTCCTCCCTCCACAAGACCACCAGTCTGCAGGAGCCACAGACCTTCCTTTCCCCAATCCACAAAGCCTGTCCTTACCAGTGATTCTGCCTCTCTATTATCATCTGTCTTGTGGCTTTTCCCAAGGAGATTAACATATGTCTGTCTATTCATTCCAGAGAGGATGCCAATGACAGGCCAAACTATTTCATCCTAGTTTACTTCAGTGACTCAGTGGTTTAAACTGGGATTACATGAGCATGGACAACTCAGAAGCCCCAGTGCCTTCACTATTATGTCCTCAGAGAAGAGGATAGCCCAAAACTGCCTTCAGCAATCCCAACAGCCTATAAATCCTCAGACAAGGTGGGCCACATGAGACACTACCCTAGCAATCATTAACCTCTTATAAATCTTCACAGGGGTGGGGCCTCCTGAACCCTTCCCTCCCTGCCTCAGGACATAAAAGTTGACTATATAGTCTTCTTGTTCAGGTCTCCTGGTAATCACACTGCTGACAGTTGAAGAACTTAAGGACCATGTCAAAGCCAGAGGACAGTGGTCTGTATCCCATCACTGGACCCTGAACAGGCAACTCCCCAACACAAGAAACAGCAGCGCCTACTTTGATCTGAATGAAATTGGCCCTCATAGGCTCATAGGGGTGGAACTATTAGACGTGTGACATTGTGGGGTAGGTGTGACCTTGTTGAAGGAAGGTGTCACTGGAGGTGGGCTTTGGGGTTTCAAATGTTCAAGTCAAGCCCAGTGTCACTTTCTCTTCCCGCTGCCTGATGATCTAGATGTAGCACTCTTAACTACCTCTCCAACAGAATGTCTGCCTGAACACTGTTATGCTTCCTGTTGTGATGACAACGGACTAAACCTCTGAACCTGTAGGCCAGCCCCAATTAAATGCTTTCCTTTGTGAAAGTTGCCATAGTCATGTTGTCTCTTCACAGCAATAGAAACCATAACTAAGACACTCATCTTTTTGTTTGTCTGTTTTTGAGACAGGAGTTCTCTACGTAGCTTTGGAGCCTATCCTAGCACTCGCTCTGTAGACCAGGCTGGCCTCGAACTCACAGAGATCTGTCTGCCTCTGCCTCTGCCTCTGCCTCCCAAGTGCTGGGATTAAAGGCATACGCCACCACGATCCAACACTCATTTTTCACTCAGCCTTAGCTGAACACCTGGAAGTGTCTCCCACAACCCACATAAATTCATATCAGGCGAAACAATAAATGGGTGAATCTGAGATAATTTTGCCAAAATCAGTTTACTTGTTAAGATGACATACTTCTTGAAGACACTTGAAAACCCTATTTCCTGCTTCTGTGGGGGTCCTTAAAATATATGCAGTGCAGGGCGTTAAGCAGAATAAATTTGGACAGTCTTGCTATATTTTGGCTCAAACATAATTTTAAAGTTCCATATTTATGTTAAGATACAAACATAGTGTCGGGCTGGTGAGATGGTTCAGTGGCTAAAGGGCTTGCTTCCAAGCCTGATGTCTTGAGTTTGAACCAACTCCCAAAAGCTGTCCTCTGAACATCATATGTGTGCTGTGCCATACACACACATTAAAAAAAAAGGTATAAACCCAGTGCTGACTCCTAAGTGTTAGAGACTGGGAGGTCATTAAGACCCCATCAGACTTATGGGGAAAACATTTGCCCTCCTCCACAGGGCTGTTCTATGGCAACTGAGGGACAGACTAACCTGTCTGTCCTCCTTCTGCCATCACCTCCTCAAATGGCTGTTCTGTCCCACAGTGGAACACACATGGCAACTCAGGTGCACAGTTCCAAGTCTGTCATGCTGTGTGCCTCCTGTAAGTAGACTCATGACCTTACCCTTCTGTGCACCGCTCACCTATGAGATGGTGAGCCATCAATTCCTAAGGTTAACTCATATTCTTCTGTGTGTCATGTCACATTGTGGCTTTTTACCGATGACAGACATCTGGGTTGTTTTCATCTTTGGACTATTTGTGAATAATGCTACTAAGGTAGTTTGTGAGGCCCTGGGTTCCATCTCTCAAGACTGAATCAAACACACAAAAGATGGTTGAATCCGTTCAATTCCTAGGTTTCACTTAGGTTATTCAGAAGTCAGGTCAGGGCTATCCTGTGTGGTTTTTTTTTTTTTTTTTTTTTTGGTTTCCTGCAGCTGTGAACTGATTTCAGTGCTGCAGGTCTGCTAGACAAGAGACCCTAACAATGGGCAGAACCATGGTACCCACATTTCCTATTCTGGAAGGGGCTTCTTCACAGCAGCTGAAAGATAAAAGCAACCCAACAGTTGAGCGCAAACCCACATAGTATGCTCCACCCTACAGAGGGCTGCAGTCAATCCAGCTCTAGAGGAGGACCAGGGCAGGCAGGTCCTTCCTCAGCTCCAGCCCCCTCCTTCAAAGAGGATGCTGATTTGGACTGCAGAGAGGAGACTAGGAGCAGATTCACCAGGTGCAAGGGCATGGAGAGTTCCAGCCAGATGTCTTCCTTGCAAGCCCATTCTTTGGAGGCTTTGATGCACCTGTTCTGATGGAGATGAAGCGGCTGCCAGGTCTCTTCAACTCAGGGCTGCAAGCGGCTGGGCACACTCTTTCCATCGCATTCCACTGGCATGTCTGGAATCCAGCCCAGACTCCACAGCGGGTTCGCGTGCAGGAGAGGACTATTGCTGGCTACTTTAGTGAATACACTTCTGAGAAAGCTTTGTAGATCTGACTTTTGTTGGTTCCCTTCTATTTCTAATTAACTGGAAGTTTATTCATGTCAATTTCACCAAATGTTGCCAGAATCTATGGAATCATGTTTTTTCTCCAACTTTTAAAATAAAAAACTTTTTTTCAGTCAGGGTTTCATGGATTACAAGCTAGCTAGCCTCAAACCTAATATGTCGCTGAAGATGACCCTGAACTCCTGATCCTCCTGCCCCCATTGCCTGTGTGCTGGGATTACAGGCATGCACCAAATTCCTGGTGTAAGCAGTGCTGGAGATGAAACACAAGATCTCATGCATGCTAGGCAAGCACTCTAGCAACCGAGCCATATTCCCAGCCTTGAATTTTTATTAATTTCCATTCACAGGATCAATTCAATTTAATTGTCTTACCCTTTTGAAAACTTCATTAGCTCTAGATTCAATTTGTTAGTGTTTTCTTTAGGAATTTGGCATCTGTGCTCACTTAAAGAGGTCATCACTACTTCTCTCACGTCTTAATACCCTTAGAGATCATAGGTGTGATGCTGTCCTGGTGAAACAAACTGGGACGTGTCCCCTTCCAGTTTTCTTGAAAGACCAATTGTTCACTAAATGTATGAATGTGTGTGTGTGTGTGTGTGTGTGTGTGTTGTGGGTTTTTTTGCTTGCACATATTTTTTCTATGCACCAGTTTTTTAAAAAGATTTATTCATTATGTATATAGTGTTCTTCCTCGAAGAAGACACCAGATCTCAGTACGGATGATTATGAGCCACCATGTAGTTGCTGGGAATTGAACTCAGGACCTCTGGAAGAGCAACCAGTGCTCTTAATCTCTGAGCCATCTCTCCAGGCCCAGAGAGGTAGCTTAGTGGTCAAGACCACTGGCTGCTCTTGCAAAGGAAACTCTGCTCAGTTCCCAGCACCATGTGGCAGCCCACAACCACCTGTAACTCCAGTTTCAGGGATCAGGTGCCTTCTTCCAGCCACCATGGCGCCGCACACACATGGTGCACACATGCATATACAGAAAAAACATACAAAATAAGCCTAAAATTAGGGTATGCACTATGAGAATCTTTTAAATTAAAAATTCCATTTCTTTGTGTTTTTAGCTCTGCCCCCTTATTCTGGGCAGAATAAGGCCAGCAGCAGCAGTCCATCCTCCCACCTCAGCCCCTGAACAGTGGAAAAACTTGTGGACAACTTGTGAGAATCAGTTCTCACTTTCCACAATGTGGATCCTAGAAGTGGACCTCAGGTCATCAGGGTTGGCAGCAAGCACTTTTACCTACTGAGCCATCTTTATGGCTCATGTATTTTAATCAACAACACTAGTAGGCTGATAACTCATACAAGGTGGTATAAAGAGGAGAACTTAAGATGACATCATGGTACCAAGGTCAAAAACATGTCTGGCTGTTGCTGGTACAATCAGCCATTCCTGCGTGCGTGCATGCGTGCGTGCGTGTGTTCATATCTGTGAAGGTCAGAAGACAACTTTCAGGAGTCAGGTCTTGCCTTCAGCCTTGTTAAGGCAGAGTCTCTCTGGTTGCTGTTTCTGTGCTGTGTACTCCACCATAGCTGGTCTGTGAGTTTCCAGCTGAGTCTCCTGTCTCCACCTCCCATTTTACTCCATGGGTTACAGAAGCATGGTGCCGCATTCAGCCTTTTATGTGGGTTTCAGGGATCAAACTCAAGCCATCAGTTTTGTGTAACAAGCACTTCTGCCCGCTGACCATCTTACCAGACCCTCTCTTGGCGATTTTCATGCTTCCATGATGTACCTTGCCCATTGTCCACCATGTTCTTACATTTCAGTTTCGGTGTGGAGCAGAACATCCCACCACCAGCAGTTTCTAGAGTTCTACTTTATAATGTCTTTGGGCTGATCACCACATTCAGTCCTGTTAGGGGCCACTTTACATATCACTGTGTTCAGGAGCAATGGAGCTGCCTACCAGTGTTAGTGCTTGCCCATATGCAGGATGGAAAATTTTCCTTTAACTATAACTGTAACTGTTTTCCAGAGGAACAACAACAACAACAACAACAACACTGTGTTTAATATTTTTAAACAGTTTTGGACCATTGAGGTGGCTAAGCAGGTAAAAGCACCAAACGCCAAGCCAGATGGCCCAAGTTCATTCTGTGTGACTATACATTGAGAAAAGTCCTGAAAGTTGCCCTCTGACCTCCATATGTGCTTGCATGTATGTGTGTGTGTGCACGCGCACGCGCACACACACACACACTGTAATTTAAACATTTTCTTTTATTAGCATATATTATACATTTCATTATATTTCATACATATGCATGGTGTATTTCAATCAAATTCATCAAGATCCATTGGTCTTATACTCCCCACTCATCCCCTTCATCATCCCAGTGTTGACATTTTTGCAATTACCAAACAATTAAGCAATTACATGAAGATGGAGTGTAAGTTTGTTGCTAGTTACAAAAAACACATTTGAGTGAAGTCTGTAACAAATAACTTGGTTTATGAATCTGGAAGCTGAAGGACAAGACAAGACATTGTATCAAATGGCCTTCCTGAGATACACTGACTTCACTTGGCAATAGTAGGCAGAGAGTGGTTCTGTTATGGTTTAGACAAGCAATGTTTCCCACAACCTCCTGTATGAACATTTGGTCTGCAGGTTATGGTACTATTTGGTGAGGTTCTGCAAACTAGGATGTGGAATCAGGTGGAAGATCACTAGGGGCATGGGTCCTTGGACCCTTCCTTCTCCTGCCTTTGCTTTCTGGTCAACAAAAGGTGAGCACTTTCCTCTACCACATATCCTTGTTGCCATAAATGGTCTAAGTCCACCGACAAAGCACATATAGACCCAAACCTCTGAAACCATGAGCCAAAATGGACCCTTTTCCCCCTTAAGGTTTCCCTGCCAAGTATTTGGTCACAGAAATGAGAACAGTCTGTGTGTGTGTTTTCATGTGAGTGCACACATATCCATGTGTGTTTGCCTTGTGGTAATTCAAGTGGGGGACAATGTCCCCCATAAGCTCTGATGTTTGAATACCTGGTCCCCAGTTGGTGACACTGTTTGGGCAGGTAGAGTAGGAACCTGGAAGATAGCCGTGCTGAGAGTAAAGCAGACTGCAGAGGCCCAGCTCAAGAATAAATTTAAAATGATTTCTTTGGCAGAGGGCATTTCAAGACAGCACAACATTGAATCTGTGGTATGATTTTTTTTGTTATTTTTGGTTTTTTGAGACAGGGTTTCTCTGTGTTGTTTTGAAGGCTGTCCTGGAACTCACTCTGTAGACCAGGCTGGCCTCGAACTCACAGAGATCTGCCTGCCTCTGCCTCCCGAGTGCTGGGATTAAAGGCATGCACCACCAACACCTGGCTCTGTAGTGTGATTGTTATTGTAACATTTATGCAGACCTAGAATAAAAAAATCTGAGTGGGGTAGAAAGAAATACATAATATATGGTTTGGAATGGAAAAAGACCACTAGGAAACTTAATGTTACAGACAAGACATTATCAGGAGGGGACTGATCCGCACAAGAACAAAGGGAAGGGTAAACTCAAGGGATGACCCCACCCGTCTAAGCTTTCACACTGTGAAAGCAAAAGGTTTTTCTGCTCCTAGAAAGTAGTAACGGGCTGGAGAGATGGGTCAGTGGTTAACAGCATTGGATGTTCTTCCAGAGAAACTGGGTTCAATTCCCAGTACCTACATGGCTCACAACCATCCAAGTTTCAGAGGACCCAGTGCCCTCCTCTGTCCTCCTAGGGCACCGGGCATATCTGTGGTGCACAGTTTACATGCAGGAAAAACACCCATGCACACTTTTTTAAAAACAGCCGCAAATATGATTCAAAGGGGTCAGGGTTCATCCTAAGCTGGTCACTGAACTTGTCAGTGTCCTCCAGGAGGTGCTGACTCTTCAAGGATTGAAAGGTCATAGATCCTTCCTCTGTGGTTTCAATCATTGAGGCCAGGCAGTATTGCAGGGGAAGTCTGGTGGGAAGTCTGATAAAGCTGCAAATGTGAAACCTATACTGGAGATCCTAAAATGCTGGAGCTGCCAGAGTCATGGTCTACCTGACAAAGAAGAGATGCAGAAAGGGAATGGAACCAGCCTACAGGCTGCAAAGCTGGAAGGCAGAGCCATCTAAGTCCTTTGGCACCAGACATGGAGCTACAGGATTTGGTGCTTGCCCTACTGAGCGTCAGTCTTACTTTGATCCAGCATTTCCTTGCTTTGACCCAAACACTTCCCTACTGTGCCACTATGTTGGAAGTATATAATTTGCCTTTCTATTTACGACTGCCTTGAGTCTCAGAAGAGGCTTTGGACTTTAAAAAGGATTGAAACTTTGAAAAACTATGGGACTTTTGAGGCTGAACTAAATATATTTTGCATTATGTGGTCGTGAGGCCTGTGGAGCAGGAAGTGAAATATGATGGTATAAATAACAAATGTCCCCAATATGTTTGGATATTTGAATATATGGTCCCCTAGTAGTTGGTGGTGTTTGGGGAAGTTTAGAAAGGTGGCCTTACTGGAGAAAGTATGTTACCAGGGGCTAGACTGGAGCTAAAAAGCCTGTCCTACTTTCAGTTTGCTCCCTGCTTTGTGATCATGGTTGAGGATGAGCTCTCAGCTTCCTGCTCCTGACATCATGCTGGTTACTTGTTGCTATGCCTCCCCACCATGATGGACTCCACCTTCTAGAAACATAAGCCAGAATAAACTTTCTTCTATAAATTGCCTTGGTCATGTTGTTTTATCACAGCAATAGAAAAGTAACTAACACACCTCTTCTCGTAGAGCCATCAGGGTTCAGTCACGGGGACTCTTCTTTGGTGACGTTACCTAAGCCCCATCACCCTCCCAGGCTTTACCTCTAACCACCACAGCTGGATTAACATCCCACCTCTTTTTACCCTACAATGGGAATTGAACCCTACAATGGGAATTAAACTTCAACATACAAAACCGGGGAACATCCAAGTCAAATTCTACCTGCCACAGGTGGCCAGTTGCTATTCTTTAGTCATTCCACCGTGCTCCCCATGTGTCTGTAAATCAGTGTTCTCCTGGTTGCTTCCACTATGCTTAGAGAACTTCCCTTAAACACCCCTTGCAGGTATTTCTGTTAGCAATATGTTCTATTACTTTGCCTTTTTTCCTGAGAATGTCTGATTCCTCTGTCATTCCTGAATGATATTGTGCTTAACAGAGGTCACAGGCTAAGTTTTCTTTACAAGCTTGAAGAATCCTGTGTCCTTCCTTCTGGCTCCTGTAGCCCCAGAGAAGCAGCCAGATCTGATTAAGACTGCCTCTCCCCTACCTGCAACATGTCATTTCTCTTTGACAGGCGAGGTTTCTCCTTTTCTTTCATTGCAAGCTGTCTAGAGCGAGGTGTGATGGTTGACGTCCATAATCCTAGCACTTGGGAAACTGAGTGGGATTGGCTCAAACACAAGGGCGGTTCACAGTGTGAGAACCTGTTTCAAAAATACAGTTACATTCAGGTGCCTTAAATCCCAGCACTCAGGAGATAGAAGCATGCAGACATCTGAGTTCAAGGCCAGCCTGATCTACATCTCCAGTCACAAGTAAGTCTGGGCTACAGAATTAAACACTGTCCTTGGTATGAATTTCTGGTAGATTTATCATATGAGGGCTTACTCAGCCTCTTGCATCTGTGTATTCTGTGCCTTATTGTTCTGGGATGCTTATGAAGTATGAATTATCCCACAAACCTCAGAGAGTCAGGGAGTTTCAACTTATTTTACTTTATTTTGAGACAGGATCTCACCATATAGCCCAGAACCTTCCATCCTTCTGCATCAGCCTCCTCAGTGCTGCAATTTCAGGCATGTACTACCAAACTTGGCTTAGGTTCACACTTTGTACTATTTTCTTTGTTTTTCAGATCTAAGAAAGTTCTAGCACTCCATCTCCAGTCTACCACTATGTCCTTCTAAGATGGACAGTGTTATTCTGGTTTTCTTAAATTCTATAATTTCCATTTGGCGCTTTACAATTCCTTTTTCGTTGCTAACTTAATCTTTTTTTCAATTTTAAACAAGTTTGTAATCACTTTTTCTTGTAATTACTTCTGAAAGAGATTTTCATGACTGTCGACAAGTCCTTGGCAGATGGCTCATTTTGGCATCCATTTCAGTGAGCAGCCTTTTTACATTCACAACGTGTGAATGTTCTTGGAATGATAAGCGGTCTTTTTCAAATGTATACTGGACATTTAAGTTATTCTGTTTGGAGACTCCTGGTTCTATTTAAATCTTCTACGTTAGCAGGCAGCTGCTAATGCCAATATGTGGATGTATGTCACATATACAATATGGCCTGACTCTGTGGCCTCTTGTTCGAATGTTGGCTTTGTTTCTGGAGTCCTCTTGTTCTCCTGGTCTGCCTAGTTTTCTGGTACTAGTGGGGCTGGTACCATCTGCAGGTTAAAGGTGCATTTCTGGGGTCCACCCTGCTAAGGATAAGTCGAATGTCTGTGTGGGTTTCTGTACTGATGGGCAGCTGGACAACACTGCCTATATAGTCCCCGATGGAACCCCTTGTGGAGCAGGGTCAGGTGGTCTGCAGGTGCTCTGACACTGTCACTGGCGACAGTCTGTGGACTGGTACTGGAGCACTGTTAAAGGTTTCTCCTGCCACTGGCCAGAGATAAAGGGTTTTCCAGAAGACTTTTTTTTTTTTTTTGGTTTTTACGAGACAGGGTTTCTCTGTATTGTTTTGGAGGCTGTCGGTCCAGCCTGGCCTCAAACTCACAGAGATCTGCCTGCCTCTGCCTCCCGAGTGCTGGGATTAAAGGCATGCGCCACCACCGCCCCCTTTTCCAGAAGACTTACCTGTACCTGTTGGCCACTGTGTGTGGTAGACCTCTCTGGGGCCCTACCCTAGAAATCTATACCAGAGGAAAAGGAAACCCAGGAACATAGCTCTGGTTCTGAGTCCTGTCTTATTTTCAACTCTCAAGTCCTTCCCTCATTGGCTGTTACTTATGAGGTATTTAGGGAGGGTGTACTTGGGTGGAAGGAGCAAGACAGGCGAGCTCATTACTGCTCACAGGCCTCCACATGCCTGCCTGCTGGACCACCCCAACTGCACAGCAGCCAGTCTCCCTCACAAGTGCAGATCTGACTGCCAGGGCTCCCCTTAAAGCATCTTCCGTGGCCCCTGCAGAGAGACAAAGACCCTCCTGGCTACCCTGCACACTCCCTTGCTCCCTACAGGACAGTTTTTCTCCTTCCCCTCAGAACTCCTCTGGCACAGATAAGCACCATAAACTTTAGCTTCCAGGGCAGATCCTACCCCTCACAGACCTGGATGCTGGAATCTGCGATGAGGCTGGGAGGGCTGCTTCCTGCTGGGCTTGATGTCTGTCCAACTCACATTCACAAATGTGCCCATTTACCCTAAACTCCCCTTCTTATGAGGATGGCAGCTAACCCCATGCCTTAATCTTGACATCTGCAAAGACCCTGTCTCCAGTCACATTCTGATGTATTAGGCTTACGACATGAATTTGGAGGGACACAACTCAGTCCATAACTGCTAACACAGGGCTGTGCTCAGTCGTGGATCCCCTCTCTTTACAACTCTTTGCTACCTGCAGCCATTTTACATGGTTCCCTAAGCTTTCAAACCACATTCAAAACACCTAAGGGTCACCTGATCACACCAATTTCTTACAAGACTTACGTCAACAACCAAACAGAAAGGCAAAATTTGTTAGAAAGCCCAACCCCTACATCACAGGTCTGAAAGCACCCCACCCCCCATTCTGTTTATTGGGAAGGCCATGTAGCAGTGAATCCTGCTCAACACCAGCACTAGGAAGTGCCCAGCACTTCCTAAACCTAAAATGTCTAAACTGAGGGTAGGACCCAAGCAGCAGACCCAAACCTGCCTTTTCAAGAACCCGAGTAACCCAGTAAGGATCATCCACATCTACGCCATTCAAAATAAGCTTAGCTTGAGCTTCCGCCGCCTTAGGACAAATGTGCTCTCACCTGCAGTAGCCAGGAGCCAAGGGGAAAGAGAAACCAGAAGGTTCAGGCACGCGGAAATTTAACCACTAGGGCTAAGATCCAGACTCAGAGAAAGGCCAGCCCCACCCTTCGCCCCGCCCTCCGCCATTTGCCACGCCTCAAAGCCTTCGCCCCACCTACCAGCCCTTGTCTCAGTCACCCTCATTTCTCATCCTTCGCCCTCCTTAGGCCCCACCCCACCCCACCCCACCCTCGAGATTCATGCTCCTTCCCCAAGCCTGCATCCCGCCTATCGATTCTTGTCGGCGGCCCCGAGGCCCATGCCCCGCCCTCCTACCCCTTACCCAACCCACTATCCCTTGCCCCGCCCCCTTCCCTTCGGTCCCTCTTACACTTCGCCCCGCCCACAAAGGCCGGCGCTCCGCCTACCACCTCCTGCAACGCCCCCAAACACCACATCCCGCCTACTTGGTTCTTACCCTTCCCATTACCCTTTATTCCCCACTCTTTACACAACGCCCTTTCCCAAGAGGCCCGTGTCCCGCCCACCACCCCCTCGTTCCGCCCACTATCCCTTACCCGCAACGCCTCACCCTTCGCCCCTCCTCCCGAGGCCCCCGCCAAGCCCGCGGCCCTCTGCCCCGCCCCCGAGGCTCGTGCCCCGCCCTCAACTCCTGCACCCAGCCAATTGCATTTTCTCTTCGCCAACCTCCTTACTCCGCCCCCTACACCCCTTTCCCGCCCACTTCCCCCGGCCCCGCCCCCGGCCCCTTACTCCCTGCCCCTCCCCCCGTATCACGCCTCTGGGGCGCGCACTCCGCCACAAGCATTCAAGTCAGCCGGAAGTCCTGCCGTAAAGCGTGCCGCCACAATCGTACTAACGCCGGTTCCCTTGGAGACAGGCAACGCGTGCAAGATGGCGACGCCGGCGGAGGCGGAGGTGGCCGCGGACTTCGCCGAGGCGGCTGAGGCTGCGGAACTGAGTCGCGCGCTAAGCCGCCTGTTGCCGGGGCTGGAGGCCGAGAGTAAGCTGGGGCGGCGGCGTGCGCTGGAGGCCCTGGAGCACGCACTGGAAGAGACGGTACGGCCCGGCGCGGATTCGGCGGCCTTCCAGGGCCCCTGGGCTCGTCTACTGCTTCCGCGCCTGCTGCGACTTCTGACCGACCCGGCCGAGGGCTGTCGCGCGCTGGCTGCTCATCTGCTGGACTTAGGCCTGCGCCGTGCCGCGCGGCCCCACGACGCTCTGCCGCGCCTGTTGCCCGCGCTCACCGCGCGCCTGGCCCGACCTGAGCCCACGCGGCCACCGCCCGAGCCCTGCGAGGAGCTGCGCCTTACCCTCGTGCAGCTGCTCCGTCTGGCCGTGGACCTGTGCGGAGCCGCGCTCGCGCCCCACCTGGACGACGCGGTGCGCGCGCTACGGAGCGCGCTGCTCGACCCTTTCGCCGCGGTGCGCCGCGAAAGTTGCGAGTGCGCAGCCGCTCTGGCGCGAGCCACTCCTGGTAAGCATCGGATCCCCTTGCGTGGGTACCCAGATGATGGTTTCGTATGCGAGAGGGCACGAGACAACATCTCACCATGAAGCCTGGGGTGGCACCAAACTTACTCTGCTTCAACCTTCTGAGTGCTAGACTCTTAGACCTGTGCTACGAACCCATTTCATGCTCATTTTTATGCAGAGGTTATAGGATCCACGTGGAGAAGGACCACGAAAGTTTGTGCACTCGTGTTTCTCTACCCCAGTGCCTCCTGTGTCTCTTGGCTTGGATCACTAGCTTCCTTAGGTGGAAGGAGACTGCTTTTCTCCCTTTAGTTTATTCCCACCATTTCTAACAGCTCTGCTTGATCAGCCTTCTCTCTTTTTTTTTCCTTGTAAACTAGGATTTGGGGAAAAAGAAAAAAAAGAGGCCCTGCCTGCTGCTGATAGTTAAACTGAAAGTCTGGACAGGAGGGAGCCAACTATGTGAAATAATGTGCACATGTCCACCTCGATGCCTGGAGCATACAGCACCAGGACCACTGGAGGAGTTGAGGCTAGCAGGGACTGGTTTACAAGAGTCCAGAGGAAGGTGGCAGGTGTGATGGTGGCCACAGAGCTGTATCTGATAACCAGCAGCCTCCCTGTCCCGCAGAGCACTTCCACATGCAGTCGGAGTCCCTGATAAGCCCGCTGATGCAGACTATCTCCCACCAGCACTGGAAGGTCAGAGTGGCCGTCATCGAAGCCACGGGCACTGTGATCCAGTTTGGCAATGGCAGTTCCGTGGATGATGTTCTTTCCCACTTTGCTCAAAGACTCTTTGATAACGTCCCTCAGGTAACGGGGACTTCTCTTGACACTGTGTTTCTGTTAGTGGAAGTGTCTGCATGTTCTCATCCACTGGGAGGATTTCAGTGCAGTGCCAAGGTGGTTGGAGCCTTGCAGAGAAGGGCAGGGTGGAGGTTGAGTGGTGTGGGGTAATCTGTGCTGGTGGGTTCGGAAGCAGCCGAGGAGGCTGGCACACAGGAGCCCTGCAGATATAGGGGGTGCAGTTGCTTTAAGAAGGCAAAATCCAGCCCAGCAATGGTGGCACTTGTCTTTTATCCCAGCACTTGGGAGGAAGAGGCAGACGTATCTTTGTGAGTTCCAGGTCAGGCTGGTCTACAGAGCAAATTCCAGGACACCCGGGACTGTTGTATAAAGAAATCTTGTCTAGGAACACCCTCCCTCTCCACCCCGCCCCCCAAAAAAGAAGTCGGCAAAATCCAGCTCACAGGCATGTCTCAGATCTAAGGCTTTTGTGGCTTGTGGCAATATCACCTATAAAGAGAGGACTGGTGGCAGCCAGGCTCTGTTCCAAAAGAAGACAAGGAAGGGGGAGCACATGATTCTGATTAGGTGTGGAGGAGGGGCAGTAGCCAGAACCCACCTCACCCCACCACCCAACCCACCCCCCTGAGAAACTGAAAGCTGTCCCCATCTTGGCCATTTGTATTAACCATCAAACTCCAAAGTGGCAAATTACATCCAGGTGGCAGTGTCCCCTCCCCAGGGATGAAAGTGTTGGCCTGAGTGCATCAGACGCCCTCTGCCCCTTGCTCAAGGTTGTGTCACTTGTGCAGGTGCCTACCCCTAAAGTGGGTCCTATCCAAGTCCTGCCTCAGGTTCCCAGCACAGCTTTATGTCTTGTTTTATTTGTATACCTCTCCATGGCATTAAGATTCACATGCGTACAATTCAGCCATTCACGATGTTTAGGGGTGTGTGTGTGTGTGTGTGTGTTTAATTTTGTAAAGCGTGTGTCGTTACGTTTATTGTTTCAGTGTTGGGATTGTAGCTCAGGTGTAAAGCACTTGCTCAGCATGTGCAAGGTGCTATGTTCCATCCCCCACACCACACACCCACAGTTGTGAATTACAGCCAGTGTTGTCACTGTCATCACTGCTACCAGTTCTCATCATTCCAAACAGCAAGCGGTAGTTCCCCATTTAATCTCCACCTGGTGAGATTTAGCCTTTCTATCCTAAGTTTGCTTGCTATGGATTTCTCATGGAGTCCTGGTACATGTCAGATATGATAACCTCTACTAAACGTCACCACAGCCCATGAAACACCCAGGTACCGTGGTGACGCAGAACACTGCAGACAGGATGTATTACTGTGGGGGAGGGGCACAGTGAGTCCACAGAGGACAGGGCTAGTGAGTGTTACAGGGTTCTGGATCAGCAGTGGTCCTCTCATTTGTGAGATGGATGAGGCTCAGCCCTGGGCTTCATTGCCTATGCCTGTTTCAGGACTAACATCCTCCACAACAGATCTCAGAGCCACCCTTTCCAGACATTTTTTCGGGGGGGGCATTGAGACAAGGTTTCTCTGTAGACCAAACTGGCCTCAAACTCAGAGATCTGCCTGCCTCTGCTGGGGTCAAAGGTGTGCACCACCACTGCCTGGCCCTTCCCAGACTTAATTGAAGCTTCTTCTCTATTCTTTTGTGGCAGGTCCGGCAGGCAGTGACCTCAGTGGTTGGGGGCTGGCTGCTGAATCTTCGTGACCGCTACTCCTTCTTCCACAAACTCACCCCACTGCTGCTCAGCAGCTTCAGTGACGACATGCCTGAGGTCCGGTAAGTGCCTCTCTGAGCAGCTGGGCAGTGTGGGCCACATGGCATTCCCTATCCCTCTGGAGTCAACACTGATTTGGAAGAGCTTCTCTCCAGTTGCCATTTACCACAGTGGTGATTTCTTTACTCTGGAATTGCCACAAGAAACTGCCCCATCTCCTTGTTTTGTGTTTTAGGTGATCCTATGCTGTAGGAACTACCTCTGGTCACTAAGACCTCTTTGGACCTCTTTCTTATTTCAGTTGGGTCTGTGAGTGGACATCAGGCCCTTGTTGGTGTTATCATCATGGAGTTAGCTGGTCAGAAGGCCACTCCTTCCCAGTGATGCCTGTTGCCTAAAAGCCCAGCAGGTGTTTCCCTGAGGTTTCTGTGGTCAGGACCTTCATGGGATGGGTCTCCTGGCGCCCAGGCCTGACTGCCATTCCTGTCTTGTGTTACAGACAGACAGCCACCAGCCTCTGGGAGAAGGTCGGGCTGAAGTGGCAGGAGGAGAATGAGGCAGATCTAAAGGACAAGCTGGATTTTGCTTCGCCTCCTCCTCCCCACTACCCTGAACATGGTGAGTGTCCCTGCTAGGGGAAAAGGTGGCTGGAAGGTCCATGAAGGACATTTGTTCTTGGCCTTGAAGAAGGCACTGGTATCTGAGCTTTGTAGTTGCTGAGTCCCTGTTGGGGAGGTCATAGAAGGGTCCCTCCTTCCCTGATGGCAATGTGGGCCCATGCTGACAGCCTGTGCCCCTGTCTCTCAGGAGCCAATCTTTTTTCCACCTCTGGGCCAGCTTCATCTTAAAGAAGGGAAGGAGTTCCTGAAGCATCCAGATGTGCTGCCAGGTGTCCACAACTCCCTTCTGAGCATGTGCAGGGACATGTCTCTGCAGCACTGCTAAAAGAGTTTCAGGAGTGGCTCCATGGGGCCTTCATTTTTTGCCCTAGAGTCACTAAGCCTGCAGATCAGGCGTAAATGGCATTTGTCTTTGTGTGCTATCTGCCCTCGGAGGTAGGGTCTTTCTTCT